TTATTTAAGGATAGGAGCTAGAATTTTCCAATCGCCGTGGCCAGTGGCTCTGTTGGCTGGGCAGTTTTAAGGCCAAAAGAAGTAACTTTTTTTCCCAGCTCTAGTGTTAGCTAATGGGTATGCCATGGGCTCTGCAGCATTCTAAAAGGGCTGATAGTTTGGAAGAGTTAGGGGAGATTATAGGAGAGAAGCAGTTGGTGAACAAGATAAGAAGTGTAGCTTCAAAGGTGGGTTGACTGGGCAGACATGAAGTCTGATGGGCACCAACTCATGGCAGTGTTATCCAACCTGCTCCCCTAATGTGTTTGACTACATTCACCTAATTTCCCAGTTACCTATGCTGTGCATTATGCACTTCATAGTCCCAGCACACCTGGAAAGCTAATCTATAATCTAGGAAGGCCTACAGACCGCAAGTGCTCATCCCCATCTTTTCACCATCTCTGAATTCATCATGGTTGTGATGGTGACAAACACTTTTAACACTCCGGCGAGGTGTGCAGGCACCTCATTATCTGATTTTGCAGAAGACGTCTCTTCCCTGAGGCTTCCAGGAGCATGAATCTACATTTAAAATGTGCTGTGCTGGGCCTAAATGGCCGTGTTCGTAGCTACACTTCTTTAAACTCCGAAGAAATTGTGATAATTGATGTGGAGGATTCAGTGGAAGTGTTAAATCATAGATCTAAAGTCCCCTGCCGATTCTGTTGAAGCAGGCTCACATTGCCTTTATATATAAGTGGGGGATATTAAGCTGAAATCTGGTTGACCAACCAGATGGTGTCTTAAAATCTGTTGCCCAGATTGAAGACTGAGTGTCCAGAGTTACTGTGAGCAAGGTCATCAACGTTGTGAGAGATGCAATGCCAGTCTTCCAGGTGGAGGTGAGGATGAAATGAGGGCGAATCCTTAGTTATTGTTATGAACATCTGAGGTACTTTCCCAGCCCGCTAGTGGTAGATCTGTCTCTGATTGAGAACTGGTGCCCTCCACTACTTCTTTTGTACGCCTGTTGGAAGAAACACATCTGGTCCGTTGGACCTGTGGTGCAGAAATGCAAGCCAGGAGCAACGGCAAGGGAAAAACAAAATAAAACAGACCTCTCTCAGTCTAGACCTTTTATACATGGTTTATTCATTAGGCTGTGTATATTTATATTCCCCCTTCCTTCTCCTGCACGCAAGGTGGCCTGCATTGTTCTCTCCCTCCTTGCTTTCTCCTTGTGTGTTGATTAGAGGGAACAGGCTTTTACGAATCCGTGCCGAAGCGAACCTTTGACATCGCGGACCATCTAATCTCATTCTTCATTTTTTTTGGCTGCTCCCTTAAGATGAGATGGTTTCTGCAGGGAGCGATGCAGCATTTGTGCCTCGCATGATGATACTGGCAGCTGGGTCCTTGGCCGGCAAAACACGTTTGCTCAGAGAGCGTGGAAGGAAATCCCGGGGAATCCCACCGTCATGCCTGGGGAGGGGAGTCCCCCAGAAGCAAGACTCCCATCCAGAAATCTCCCCAGCAGCAGGCTGTGTAATTTTCCTATAGGCAGATTACGCAATATGGCAATCCTGA